GGATAATGTTTAGGTAAACTATTTTTCACTGTTATTATGCATATATGTAAAAAAGCATGATAATCGTCATAGGAAAGCTACACTTTTAAAAAATGTGTTTGTTCAAATGTAGATTTTGCAAGGATATTTTAATTTTGACTCATAAAGGAAATGCTGACCTATGACAGATGGATTTTGCATACCGGGTCCCACCAACCGGAATCTATATTCACATCCTTCGGGGACTGTTGCATGCTCCAGCACAGCAAGTTTCACCACATTGGCACCAGTGACACCAGATAAGGTGCAAGATTTAAGGAGCATCCCGCCAGATACTGTAGAGAAAAGCTCAAGTCCTGAGGAGAAGCAGGAAACGGTTGCTGATTGTACACAGGAAGATAACGACACTGTAGGGCATATACTGAATCTTATAGGCTCATCATCTGATGGGGTATCCCCACTGCTTAAGGAACACAGCTCTGGAAATGCAGTAAATGGAGATGTTGACCCTAATATCCAGACCCCCAAGCTGAAACCTCGGAAGAGGAGAAAACATCGGCCTAAGGTGGTGGTGGAAGGGAAACCCAAAAGAACCCGAAAAGCTTCTGCTAAAAAGACTAATGCACCCAAGGAGAATCCAACTGGAAAAAGGAAGTATGTCCGAAGAAAGAACATCAAGCGCTCTCCACTACAGCAATCTGACAGTGCAAATGAAGTTTCAGTTTCAAATGGAAATCTTGCAAAACCATGCAAGAGGGCACTAAAGTTCAACATAGATAACGAAGCAACAAATGAAAGCCATGAGGAAACAGAAATGGAGGACAAGGTAGACAAAGCACACAAACACAGAGACCAGCCTTTTAATTTTGATTTGGATGCTCGTCAAAGCACTAGCAGAGTGCTTACATCACCAGCTCAACAAGCAGATGTACAACAGCAAGCAGAAACCTACTCTACTCTCCAAAAGCCTATTCTTCCAAGTACCCCCTCAGCTACAAGTAAAAGTCATACATTGAATGCCATTGCTAGAAATCTGAACACTTCAAATGCGATCCTCTATCAAGACAATGTCCAAAATGTATTAAACCAAACTACAATGAGCCAAAATAGAGTGAGTGCACCGATGCAGTCAGCATTGCAGAGCATCAGTCAGCTGGTTACGGGTGATATGAGTGACGAAAGGAGATCCAAGAGAGACTACCACCAATACAGTTCTGAGATGTCCCATCCACAAAGCATCGGAGTAATTAGATCTAGATTGTTGTGCCATGAAATGTCTAGGATGGGTCAACCTAATATTCACTGTGCTTCGCTCGAGATAAGTTCAGAGGCTCACAAGAAAAGGAAGTCTGAGAACAAGTTTTATGGGACCACGGCAACAAGTACACCTTCATGTGTTACACATATCAAGGATTTATCAGAACATGTTCAAAGGAGCAGTTATATATCTCATGCTGATGAAAGATTATCAAAGACAAATCCTCATGGCACAAGAACCCCCAGACAAACAGATCACAGATTAAATGATATTTCAACCAGCTGGCAAACGAGTCCCTTGGCTTCAGAGCTTCAATTCCTGAGGCAACTGCATGTGTCAGGTCAGTTGGGCACAGTAGATACTGAGAAGCAAAGTTACCCATATCATTTGCATTCAAGGGAAGAAACAGTGGCAGATCATATCTCAAGACAAGGCACTGGAGTCGATGATTGCAAAGCTCTCACTGCAATTAGCAACAACTTCCACAATCAGTACCCAACCCTTTCTTATTTCAAATCTCTGCTAGGGCACGAATCAAGAACTTCCGCCACTACTACTTTAAAAAAATTAAAAGTGGGTAGGGCTTCATCCAATCAAACATCTTGGACTAAGAAGCCTCTTCCAGGAAAGAGAAAGAAAACAGTAAATGAAGTACAAGCCTCCACAAAAGCGAGAGGTATCCATCTGTTTGTAGAATATAAAAACTACTCACCAGTTTTTTTTCTACTTTTTATCATTTAAGTAAAAATTACAACAGCATTTTGGGTGCAGGGCCACATGATGGTTTAAAGTACTCAGTTTCAATTGACATACTCGCCATTCGATTGGAACGCATTGTTATAAGTGACAATGGCGAGGTTCCGAATGACCAAAATGCACTTATTCCATACAATGGAGATCGAGCAATGATACCATTTGAAGAATATGATCTTACTAAAAGGCGAAAGCCACGGCCTAAAGTTGACCTTGATCCAGACACAAGTAAACTTTGGGACTTGTTGATGGGGAAAGAAGGTAGTGAAAGCACACAAACAATGGACAAGGATAAGGAGAAATGGTGGGAAGAAGAAAGGGAAGTATTCCGTGGACGAGCAGACTCATTTATAGCAAGAATGCATCTTGTTCAAGGTATCACAAATCTCATAAACTACTGATCTCCAGATTTTGAGATATTGGAACAGTACTTCAAGATATGTTTCTCTAGTTGATCTGATTGCAGCATGATAAATTGGAAAGAATTAAATGGAGTTTTGAATTTTTTGGCTAGATATACTAACTAGGATTCTTTTCAATAACCATATCATATTTTAGGTAGTGAGTACTCTGTGAAAAATAATCTGAATTGGCTTCTACAGCGTCTTACGCTAAAACTCAGACTTAACAAAACTATGACTTTGCAGGAGATAGACGATTTTCACGGTGGAAGGGTTCAGTAGTGGACTCTGTCATAGGAGTGTTCCTCACACAGAATGTAACAGACCATCTTTCAAGGTATGGCCAATGACTTTATATTTAAGGGCACAACTTGATATCAAGATAGTTAAATAAATGATATCCTATTGCATGCAGCTCTGCTTTCATGTCCTTAGCAGCCAGGTTTCCTGTGAAGCAAAGTTGCATGGAAGAAGCACATGGACAGAATAACATAACTGCATGGGTTGAGGAACCAGATATTCAAGTAATGGATCCAGATGGTTCTATCATATATCGTAGCATTCAAACGCAGTCAAGATGTAACCAAAGCTCTCTGATATCCAGTGATAAATCTGAATCTGCAATAGAAAATATAGTGACAGGAGAGGTCCATTTAGCGAATGAGCGAACAAAAAGAACCGATGAAGAACTCATTTCATCACAAAATTCTTCTGAGTCTTACACTTTTCAAGTCAATGAAGAAGTCAGGTCCAGCTCTGGATCCAACTCAGAAGCAGAAGATCAAACAAGTGAACAAGGCCAAATGAATTTCCACAGCGATCAAACGATTCCTCAAAACATAGAATTTACAGTTCCATTCCCTAAATTCCAGCACCAGGGGATGGGTGTTCCACTATTTGAAACAACGAGTCCGACTCTCGGATATCAGCAATCAGAAAATATAGTGAACAACACACAAAATGTTACAGCTGCAAAGAGTAGTAGTGCATTTGATTGCGAGATCCAATCTAATCTCCAAGGTGTACAAAACTCAGCAGCTGCTTTGGGTGACTTCTGGTCGACTGTGAAACCACTCTTGGAATCAGAGGAAGCATGCTTTGATGGTACGTGGGAGGAAACTGCAATAAATCATTCATCAGCTATCAGCAGAGAAAAAACTACAGATTATTCTAGTAAGAGATTGGGACAGATGGCAGGAAAGATAAGTAGCTCAATTGCCCAAAAAAAAGCAGCTCCGATGAACCAACCACCAGGAATGCAGCAAAATGCATTTCTATGTAAGTCAGAGTGCCATGCTAACCTACAACACCATTCTTGTTCTCAGTATATCAATCAGCCCACCAGTCATGAAGATACTTCCAATGTCATTCAGACAGAAAGCACAATCACAGCAGATTCACATCCAGCTGAAACCAATGCTAAAAGACAATCAGGTAATGCCAAGAATTTAAATATATGCAGTACTGTTCAACACCTAAGCCCCCTAGGATAGTAGATAAAATATTAAATATGAGGTATTAGATCAAGTAAATAGCGCTCAAAAAAATAATAATGAGCTATTAGATACTTATAAGTATATATATTTATACAGAGTGGCAGAAAGATCCATCCAGCAAACAATCTACAGGGAATGACATCACTGCAGAAAATGCAAGAAAGAGAAAGATGGCAGATAGAAAACCAACATTTGATTGGGATAGCTTGAGAAAGCAAGTCCAATCTAAGAATGATAAAAAAGGAAGGAGCAAGGATGCAATGGACTCAATTGATTATGAAGCACTTCGGCATGCAGAAGTCAAGCAAATCTCGGATGCCATCAAGGAAAGAGGAATGAACAACATGTTAGCTGAGCGAATCAAGGTATGCATGAGAACTCAACATTCCTTTTTTTAAGTGTCAGATCATGAAAACAGAAATATACACTTTATATGAGAGAACACTCAAAAGATGATCAAAAAATTGTACATCTTGTGCAGGAATTCCTCAACCGAATTGTTAGAGAACATGGAAGTATAGACCTGGAATGGTTAAGAGATGTGCCTCCAGACAAAGTCAAGTAAGTTTTGTGTAACCATACATATAAGTTTACTAAGTCAGTGGCTTGTATCCTGCATCATAATTTCCTCCAACATAATAGATCCTTTTGTATTTCAGGGAATATCTATTAAGTATACGAGGACTGGGTCTGAAAAGTGTAGAGTGTGTCCGGCTATTAACACTACACAATCTTGCTTTCCCTGTAAGATTAATTTTCTCAAATCAAAACCCATCAAACAGTTGATATTGGAGACATAGTTCATTATTTCCATTTCTTAGGTTGATACAAATGTTGGACGAATTGCTGTTAGATTGGGGTGGGTTCCTCTCCAACAACTTCCGGAGTCACTCCAGTTGCATCTTCTTGAGCTGTGAGTAACATTAGTTGGTTCATTCCCTCCAAAAAATTTCTACCACATTGGCCTTACAGTGTTTCCTTGCAGGTACCCAGTTCTGGAGACAATTCAGAAGTATTTATGGCCAAGACTCTGCAAACTGGATCAGAAAACACTGTAATAGATCAAATCTTCAAAATAGATATCGACTAACTTATTAAGTATTGGCCAATATTACCTGTCAAATGTCAATAAGTCACTGACTACATGCTACTAACTGCAGGTATGAGCTACACTATCAAATGATTACATTTGGAAAGGTATATTTCTGATGCTTTGGGGTTCAATTCAATCCGGTGTTCGGAAATTACTTTGACAGTTTGGAGTGAGCTATATGATTGCTTGTGATCGGCTTGCAGGTTTTCTGCACAAAAAGTAAACCAAATTGTAATGCATGTCCAATGAGAGCAGAATGCAGACATTTTGCAAGTGCTTTTGCAAGGTTAGTTATTACATGTATTTCATTCATATCTGCGGCGCAGTGACAAGGCACATTTGATCCTAACTATTCCCCTATTTTTGAAATCAAAAGGGTAAATAAAACATTTGATGAATTCAAAAGGGTGCTTTAGTATGTGGACATTTGAGAACTTCATAGCCAATACGGGATCAAACATTTGATTCAGGTGGTTTTTTTATGGCTTTGTATGTGCTTTCGTAAATGAAATCAAAAGCATTAATAATTACCATTCAAAACTTCTCAAGTAACTAGCAGAACTTTATTTGGCTAACAAATCACCAGTACAGAGTACAGACAAGTCATACAATTAACGAAATTATATTTTGGAAAAACTGAAAAATATCCAAGTGTATTCTGTGGCATCTATTCACTATTGTCATTGGAGCTAAAAGAGTCATTTTTTGAAAATGTTTTTGCTTTGGATATATGATGGACTAAATCAAAATGGCACATTAAAATTCTTTTGCTTCTTATTTTCTATGGAGTTTTGGGAAGTAAATGCAGCAATGCATCAAGGGTCTAACATAAATTACCTCTTTTTTACATGGGTAAGGTTGCGTACATCTTAGCCTCTCAAACCCAGTGGAGTTGGGATTATATTGGGTTCATTGTGGTGTGCACTGTTTTTCTGTAAATTTGAGATATGTTACTGAAAATTATAAATTTCATTAAATCTGTATAAGAATTGTGTGCATTTCTGTGATGAGTTTTTCATAAAATGAAAATTATCTGTATGATGTATAACTTGCAAAGCATTTATCTTATTACTCCAAGTATGTTTATATTAATGAATGCATCATACAGCAACACACATAAGATATCTTAGGGTAATTATATTCTACCTGCAGTGCAAGGCTTGCTCTTCCAGGTCCAGAAGTGAAAGGTATGGTTAGTTCAAGTCAACCTGTATCTGCCAATGTAAATCCAGCTGCTACATTCAAGCCAAAGCCTCTTCTACCAGGAAGGTCGGGAGGGACAAGTATTGTAGATTCTACAGTTGCAATTGAAACTGGCACGGTCCCTGTATTCTTGAACTGGCCAATGCCACAACTTCCCCACATAACTAGCTTAAACAGAGAAGCAGCTGAAGCCAGTACTAGCAACTGTGAACCTATTATCGAGGAGCCAGCAACACCTGAGCCAGAAGTATCAGCAAGTGATATTGAGGATGCTTACTATGATGATCCTGATTATATTCCTACAATTGAGCTCAACATGAAAGAATTTACAGCAAACCTGCAGACTGTGTTGCAAGAGCAAAATATGGGAATGCAAGAAGGAGATCTATCCAAAGCTTTAGTTGCATTGAATCCGGATGCTGCTTCTATCCCAACAACCAAGCTTAAAAACATTAGTCACCTGCGAACGGAACATCAAGTGTAAGTTTCTGACTAGCTAAAAAACTGTGGCATACTGACAGCAGAACTAGTACGGAGTATAAATTATCATTGATAATGTATGTCTAGTCATGGAGGAAGTACGTTGAAGATCTTACAATGGTGAACTTACTATGATACAAAAAAACATCTCTAACTGATACACATTCACATGATTTATCAAATGAATAGAAAGCCTGTATGATCTAAGTACTATGATATTCAAAGTGGCAGATTATAGTGTTATACAAGGTCCTTGATCATTAGGAAGCTGTTGACCAAATGATGTATTGTTGACATCTAGATGCTTTATCACTTAGTTATATACATTACATTGCAACAAAACTCTTTTATTAGTATCTATCAGCTCCCACTAAATTCCAATGTGTCTATGATCAATTGCAGGTATGAGCTTCCAGACTCACATCCACTGCTCAAGGGGGTTAGTTATTAGTCTTCACTTTGTTTGAAGTTAAATATTTGGCTAGATGACAATAGACTTGACCATCTTGACTATTGTGACTGACAATCTTTAACTTCAGATGGATAGGCGTGAACCTGATGATCCAAGTCCATACCTTCTTGCTATATGGACACCAGGTAAGCAAACACTTTAAAATCTCTCAGGATCCATGAATTCTAAATATATGACTATCTTGCTCTTCATTGATACATTGAGCAAAACTAGCTCCTAGCATTTCATAAGAAAATAAAGCTATGGATTTCAGGATTATGTGATCCAGTAAAGTCTAAGAGAAAAATAGAAAATTAAATAGGAATGCCCTGCATCCAGTTAAGGGTGCAAATAGAGTTGGTCACTATCAGTTTTTCCAATGTCTTTTTCTTATTCTGATATTGTCCATTTGCCCTATCCTTCTAGCTGACTTTCAAGATGTCTAGGTCAGAAATAAGTTGTCCACAATCTAGATAACACAGATATATATATATGTTCCAAGCATTCAATCTAGATAACACAAAACAATTCATATCCAATTAGCCCATAGGGTAATGTTTGATTGTCTTTTTAGAAAGATAATAATAAGCATCTTTTGTAGTACAATAGTTACTTAGCCCGTGGAGTAGCACTAAATGAATTCGCTTATCAAAAATGTTTGGGGAAAAGTGGAGCCCGACAGGGCCTTTAGAACTTGGGCATCGCGTGCATCAGTTGTTTCCCCGAGATCTCGCCTCCTACAAGCAAAGAATGTCTTGGAACTAGACCAAAGTGGTTTGACAATGAGTAATGCTTAATGTCCAAGCATTGGCAGAGTATTTTGCTGTCTTCTTCATGATACAACTTATTTCAAAATGTCTTTAGCCTATGTTTTAGGAGGAAGAGTTGTATTTGACAGTGTGGAGAGATTATTATTACAATTAGCATAGTGTTGTATCATGCGGGCTTACCTCACATGTATCGATAACCCAGGTGAGACAGCCAATTCAATTCAGCTGCCTGAAACAAAGTGTAATACCCAGGCATCAGGTAAACTGTGCGAGGAGACTACATGTTACTCATGCAGCAGTGCACGGGAAACCAATTCACAGACAGTTAGGGGCACCCTTCTGGTAAGAGGCCCTTTGATACATATTCAATAAAAAGGTTGCTAGTATAAACAAAAAAACAGTTCAGTACTTCAATAACTGAGATGCATAAAATGATCTAGATACCATGCCGAACAGCAACAAGAGGGAGCTTCCCACTTAATGGCACATATTTCCAAGTGAACGAGGTAAATATAAATATGCAATCATTATGTATGAGAATCTTTGTTTAGATTTTGGATATCTCATAAGCAGCTAAATCCCAACTATGCCGGGGTTGGAAGCATGAAATGTATAGTGCCATTAAGCAGTCCAAATTGAATTAGCACTAAAAAATCAATTCAAAAACAGTGGTGGATTTTTAAGCCTGAAGCCTTTCTATAGCAATCTTAGAATGAATACTGACATAAATTTCTAAAACCGTCATCATCATAAGTTTTTAAATTACATGGGAAATATTATTAAATGGCAACGAGTTGACATAGTTGTTATAGTCAAATTACATTGCAAAATTGATCTTGTAAAATCAAAATGCACATCATGAAACACAACATAACACACACACACACACACAAACATATATATAGGGGTATCTATGATGCTAAATTGGAAGCAATATTGTGCAAATGGAGATATGATAGCTTCATAAGTTAGGGAATGATGGGTGTTCAAGAAATATTGAACTGATTTGAGCCATAATGTGCAAGTGTACAGGGGAAGAATACTTGGACAGTTTGTGCTTATCATCATTCTATAATTAAATTTTGTAAAAAGGGATACTGGTTGTGCAGGTATTTGCTGATCATGAATCCAGTCTTAATCCAATTGATGTTCCAAGACAAATGATATGGTATCTACCCAGAAGGACAGTCTACTTTGGGACATCTGTGTCCACAATTTTTAAAGGTATACTAAGATGGGTATTGGCCTACAATTTTACATTCTTTTAATTGAGAATCAAATCAAAGTGCCTGATTGTTTGTACTTATTAGGCTTGTCGACAGAACAAATTCAGCATTGTTTCTGGAGAGGTACGAGCAACTTTTGAAATTAATAATGGCAATAGCAATGAGACATTCAAAAAGCAGTCTGCTGGTAGGGCCTTTTGTCTATATCAACAGCCGCCCTTAAGCTAATATAATTCAAAAATATTATGTAGGATTTGTATGTGTAAGGGGATTTGATCAAAAAACAAGAGCACCACGGCCTCTCATGGCCAGGCTACACTTCCCAGCAAGCAGGTTGGCCAAGAACAAAAATGAAACGCAAAAGAAGGGCAGTTCAGATGCAGGGGTGACTGCTAAATAGAAAACTAACCAAGGCCAGATATGACAGATTTTTCCTAGGGTAGAAGTTTGTTGACTAACAAATTGTTGTACAATCAAATATTTCTCATCTCAAGAGGAAATGTGATTTTAAAATGTAAGCCTAGAAGCAGGAAACATAGGTATTTCTTGGAAAGGTCCCTTCAACAAAAGGGCATGATGTATAATGAGAAATTTGTATCATTTGATTCATGCTCACAAAATGAGCAATTTTTCATGGATGTAAGATAACAAGAGGAGGGGTATACTAGTTAGTATAGGAATCAACAGCACTTGCCTGTAATGTGCATTTCCATTATACAAACTTATGAACAAGTGTTTCTTTGAGACAAAAGGATGATGCCATGATTATCAGACTTTATTCACATTTGACACATATCATTAATCCCAAATGCCAAAATCATCATTAATGAATTTCTGGAGTTAAATGTTGGGCCACTTGTGGTAAAATAAAATGATAAAACAGAAAACTTAGCTCTGCTTAACATTGATAACTTTCAACCAGAAGTTCCCAAAGTCACTCTTACAATTTTCATGGGATTGATTAATCTTGTAATTAAATAAGTATCGCAATACACAAAAACAAAAATATGGCAGAACAATGAGATAAAATAATGCATATATTCTTCCTTATAATGAGGGATAGATTGGGATAAAAGCGTCTACACATACAACTGTGCACTTAAGAAACATTGTTTTGGTGTTAAAGCTAAACCAACTTACGCCCATACTTATAGAAGACTCGCCAAGATGATAGTAGGAGAGACAAAGCAGTAAATTAATGGAATGGAAATGAGAAGATAAGATTTTAAGGGTAATTTCATTTGCTGCTTCAGGAACTTTTATGGGAAACAATCCATGGCAGCTTCTGAAACTAAAGGTTTAGATGAGGGTTTAAATTTGGCATTAAGAAAAGAATGGATAAGATATGCGTGATAAGACTGCTCCTTGGTAGGTTGTATATGAGACTGATATCGGTGGTATTGACAGCCAAGTCCATCTTAGATTCATGCACGCCTAAACTCTAAACAGCGACATAAACAAGCAGATTATCTTAGTCAACTTGACAATTTAGAGTATAACTAGTTTGCATTTCTTATGTTTGCTATCAAATGTCATCCCTCTGACATCTTGTAGAGTATTGCTACACAAATTTCAGATAGTGTGGTTGTTCATGTGCACTTGTGTTTTCTGTTTGGATGTTTTTGGTCTAATCCCCCGCCTTTTTGTAGTTTTGTGGCAATATTATGATGCTTCTTTTCAACAGAACAAGATTTGAAGTAATGTTTAGGTGAATAACTGGCGTGCCCATGGAGGAGGTGTGTGTTTCATAGTTTGGCTAGCATTATAAGCTCATTCCATTCCTAATGAACGCATATTTTGATTTGATGGCATCCATCACCATCGGAGCAACCCCAGACTCAATTCACCCTAATAATTTACTTACTATAACCACTCTGAGAGGACAGGGTGAAGAGTTCCAGGATGAATAGTATGCATTGCGCTAGATCAGGAAGATATCCCAAAATTTTACACAAGACCTGGTACCTTGTGTTAAAGTACTTGAAATATTCTACTTCTTTTGGGCCTCATTTGTAATTAGCTTGTGATTAGTTAGTTGGTTGAAGGTAGTCATTACTAATCTAGCTAGCTAGCTATGAGATGTAACACGTGTGAGAATATATATATATCTATACTCTGTAATTGAAGGCATAAAGAGAAAGCTCTTATTTGCTGCTTTGGAGCAGGCTTCCTGTTTGCTGCATCATTGGTATCAAAGAATTAGTCGATTCCATTTCATCAAAATCTAGCCAACATACGCGCACAAATCAGGGTGGAGGAAGCTCTTACGAAAATGATTGAACAACAGTGAAAATGGATGTCCACGTAGGCACGTAACTCCTGGAACATAACAGGGTTATGGAGAAGCAAGTACAGCTCTTGTTGACACAGCTGCAAGATTTACAGGTGAATGGATCAGGAAGACAAGATTCAGGTGGAAGTACTTTGAACCATGGTGAAGGCAAGAACCTATCCCATTTTAATCTCAAGATAGAATTTCCTACAATTGAAGGGAAAAATCCAAGGTAATGGATTATTTTTACTGCTGGAAAATCAGATGGATTTGGCCGCAATTCGTTTGAGAGGCAAAGCTCAGATATGGTTTAGCAATTACAGATAAAACAGAAATAATGTAGAATGAGAAGAGTTTATTGTGGATCTAGGTGCCAAGGACAATAAACATGATAACATTGTAAAGGAAATTAACAAATTATGTCAAAAAATGAGTTAAGAGGAATATGTAGACAGATTTGGAGAGGTAAAAGGTCTGCTAATTCAGAGATGGACTACTATGCCTCAGGAATAATTCCTGGACAACATTGTGGTATGGCTTAAACTCCAAGTTGAGCCATTTGTTGAAGCTATCAACCCAACATTTGTGGCCAAAGTCATTGAATATGCAAGACTACAGGAGGAGACCCTGGAAGCTTGTAAAATCCACGAAAGCAGTAGATTGGGGAAGCATAATATACCACTATTGACAAAGTTAGAATCCAATTCCAAATCCAGAATATCTTATACATCACAGGGATCTTGTAACAATATGAATACAACTAGTGCATACAGAACAAATCAATCTGTATCCCAGACAAATCCCAAGTGTATTATCCCTTCTAATGTGAGAGCTGAGAAAATATCAAAGGAATCGTATTACTATTGTGACAAGCCTTAAGAGAGAGAGGCCATCAATGTGAACATAAACTTCCATAAGTAGACTTTGTTGTTAACTTGTTATTGGTGGAAGTCTTGGGCCAAAAAGAAAAGGAACAGTTTGAAATGCCTGATCTAGAAACAATAAGTGACAATGATGCAGCAATATCCATAAATGCTATAGTTGGCCATGAGCGTCACATGGTTTGTAAGAAAAAAGGCACTTTGGCTATTCATAGATACAGGAAGTACCCATAATTTCATGGACAACTAGTTAGCTACAAGATTGGGGTGTTCTGTGGAACTGGAACCTATGAGTACTCTAGAAGTGGCAGTAGCAGATGGGTTTAATTTGCAGTATACTCAAGCTTGTAAGGGTTTTAGATGGAGATTACAAAATACAAAATGTACATCTGACATGTACATCATGCCAGTTGGGGGTTATGATATTGTGTTGGGCATCCAATGAAGATTTTAGGTAGTGCCAGATGGAATTACAAGCAATTGCACATGGAGTTAAAATATCTACTTAGGAACTATATCAGTATATCCTAAGGAGTGCTAGACAAAAAATGAGCTTAATGAAAGGAGAGCAGTTCGCTAAGAATATGGGTAGTGTGGCACAGATATGTTTAATACATCTCCAGTAAGACAACAAGACTCCGGTGGATCTAAGCAGCCACAATGAAGTTGGTGAAGTAGTGTCCCTACCTGTCAATATTGGAAAAATACACTCAGCTCTTTCAGGTTCTATCTGAGCTCCCATCCACTAGGGACACTTTTGACCATAATATCGCACTCAAGGAAGGTATTCAGACCATCAGATATCCAACAAACAGAAAGATATTATTGAGAAGCTAACTTGGGAAATGTTGGAAAGTTGGTTTATCATATTGAGCAACATACCTTTTGTTTCTTCAGTTGGATTAGTAGACAAAAAGAATGGCTCGTGGAGGTTATGTGTGGACTTAGGGAATTTAACAAGGCAACCACAAAGGATAAGTTCCCTATACTATTTTGGAAGAACTCATTGATGAACTGGCTGGAGCAAACTGGATTTAAGAGCTGGGTATCATCATTGAATCAGGGTAAATGCAAAATATGTGTGTAAAACATCTTTTAAGACGCATCTTGGCCACTATGAATTTCTGGTTATGCTCTTTGGCTTAACTAATGCTCCTCACACTTTTCAAGGTCTCATGAATCATACCTTTCAACAATTCTTGAGGAAGTTTGTCTTGATATGTTTATAACATTCTCATTTATAGCCAGAGTATGTCAGACCACTTGTGCCATCTCAGAGAAGTGTTGGGGGTCCTACAAAAGCACACCTTAGTGGCCAGGCAAAGCAAATGTATCTTTGTTGTCCCTAAGGTGGAATACATGGGTCATTTCCTTTCTGGTACAGGAGTAGATCCAAGGAAGGTCCAAACTCTGACAAGTTGGCATATTCCCGAGAATGAGAAGGAATTAAGGAGCTTCTTGGGCCTAACAGGTTATTACAAAAGATTTATAAAAGGATATGCTTCTATTCGCAGGCCGTTGACTAATCTACTCAGAAAAAGATCATTTCAATAGTCAATTGCAACTACTACAACTTTTAGTCAACTCAAGCAGGATCTAGTTTCTACCCATGTACGGCCGGTACGGGCGATTCCAGATTTCTCCCAAACATTTGTGGTAGAAACAAATGCCTCTCAACAAGGCATTGGGGCAATACTTCTGCAGAACACTCGCCGTATTGCATTTATGGTATGGGGCCTGAGCAGCAGCCTCTGTTAAAGTGTTAATATATAAAAAGGAACCGCTACTTGTGGTACACTCCGTTCAAAAGTGGGAACAATACCTAGTGGCCACCTTTCATCATAAAGACATATCAAAAGAGCCTGATGTGGTAGTTGGAACATAAGGTTTCCACCCCATTCCAACAATTTCAGCTTTATAAACTCATGGGTTTTCTAATGAGATTCAATACAAAAAGGGACAGGGCAATAAGGCAGCATATGCATTGCCTGAAGTCTCAGATGCACAACTTATGCAGACAGTGTTGTCCACAATTGAGTCTGACCTAATGCACAGATCTTAGAGTCTTGGCAGTTAGATAAACACAAGTAGACTGTTATCCAACAGTTGCAGGGTGGAGCAAACATTCCTCATTGTTAGTAGGCTCACCAACAATTGAGAAAAAGTGAAACTGGTGGCGGGTTCAGTCCCGCAGCGAAAGGCAAAAAATTCTACACCAGGCACATGCTTCATCTAGTAGGGTCAGTCACATATGCTGATATGCTACTCTAAATAGGGTCAAAGCTTTGTTCTTTCGGAGAGCAATGAACAAAGAAGTGACACACTATATCACAGAATGCAAAACCTGTCAAGCTGGCAAACATTGAATAACAGCAACCCCGAGTCTACTACAACCCTTGCCTATTCCTCAAAAGGTATGGGTAGATATGTCCATGGATTCTGTTGAAGGTTTACCTGTGTCTCAAGGTAAAAAGTGATTTTTGTGGTAATAGACAGATTAAGTAAGCATGTCCATTTCTTGAGCATTGTCCATCTGTACACTGTA